CAGGAAGCATAAACGGTCCCGGACTCGCGATTAGATCTTTGTCCAAAGCAGTTTATCAAACAATACCGAATAAGATCATAAAGTCCTCAACTCCCTAACCACTCAGATCATTATTAACGTCCTTAACTCCTCAACCAGTACTGCCATGAAACAACCCGCTCCTGCACCTCAAAGTTGCTTCGGATTGTACGGGCCTGCTGCAGATCGCCCGCCTGAGCCAGCTCGTCCGTCATAGCCTTCGCATTCTGCGGTGTGCGCTTCTATGATTGAGCTTTCATTGTAGTACAAGTGGCTGTAAGGGTACTACAAGGGGCTTCAAAACTTTTTTCGGCTTAGGGTGTAGAATCTGAAATGTGTGCTGCTGCAGGGGCTTAAAAACAAAGCCAATTCGATAACATTGACCCGCCCACCACTTGCCATGCCCTGCTGTGTCCTCCTTCAATTTAAGCCGCACTTCTCTTACCAGAAATGTGAATTTCAGAAAAGAAGGCCCTCAATGTAAACACCACATAGTAGGTTTCTGAGATGGAACCGTAATTGAAGAACACTCATTTCCCAGAAACCCTGTTGAACTCCTGAACTCTTGAAGCCATCAACCCCGCAGGGCCCTGATGTAACCCCTGTGCACTACTGAAACAGTGTATTTCAGCGCCGCGCCTCTGGGCTGAGGGACTGAGGCGGCGCCTGATCGACGTCTTGCTCGGCTGCCGCCTCAGCAGAAAATGACAACTCCTATTCCTAGCTCTTTAACCCCTTGGAAGTTGCCATAACAAGGCAACTCTACTGTTTACTATACATCCCTGTCATGGTATCTTAGATCAAAGTCCTGACTCCGTAAGCTCCTGTGTTGTCCCGGAGGCCTCTGCCTCATTCCCTCTGCCACCAGAGGCCAGCTGCAGAGGCTCGGCCAGTGCGGCTGATGGCGCCTGTTCTATGCGGGTTTTATGAGAGTTCTCTGTGGGTTTTATGGGGGTCCTTTATGGGATTCCTCTAAGGGTACCATATAAGGGTACTATCTTACTCTAAGAGAACTTGCAACTTCTGGATCTCTCTCTCCTGCACGGGCTGCAGAGTCTCCCAAACGGATCTGTCGCCCTGCTCTCTCGGTCTTCGTGGTCCCAAGACCCGAAAGCGTACTATGGAGGCCTTAAAAACTACCTTTTGCTATGTTGGGGGTTCCTTATTATTAGAAATTGTTATTTGTATTATTATAGTATAATGGCCCCAAAACCCTAGTCTATTTATAAAGGCCCCTATAGTAAACCCTTGGCCTTCGCAAGTCCATTCTTTGCCCTTTCGCTCACATGGGTTCGGCCTGGGTGGGTGGGACATCTGTCGGCCGTGCCGCTTCGTCCGCAGTCAATTCCTCGCGCCGAACCGTACATCTTCATGGATTCATGAACCGGTGTACTGGGTTGTAATTTGGGCCTCCATACATGTTTTTAGATACATAGCAGATCACAGGCAAAAGAAGAAGTTCCAAGCATTGCAACCTACTAATATCCGGAAGAACTCGACCCGCTGCAGACAAGCAGAGTTCAGATGTCACAGTTCGCAGCTGCCTGGCACACCCAGAAGAATCATTGCCGTTCCCTAAAGCATATGAAGGAGCCCTCGCCATCTGGGACTGTTCCTGAACTCAGGAATACTGGCCTTCCTGGGTATGGAGATAAGAAGCATTTTTGGAGGAGGGGCTGCACATCGCGGTGACAAGCCCCAGAATATGTGTCATATAGGGGCCTCAAACCAAAACTAATGGATCAAGGCTTGGGTTATGGGGCTATATTGTACTCTGCTGCAGTAGATTAACGGAACCCTAAGGATTATCATGAGCAATTACTCAAACCTCTATACTACTACAGCCTGACTTTAAAAGTAACAAGAATAAAACTACAAGTAACCATAATACATCTGAGTTTTAACCGCAATGGTAATTGTTACAGCAATGCAGTTTGAATAGCGATAACCATGCTCATAGCTGTAGATACTTTTGGGGAGGCCAAAAGGTTGTAGGTGTAACCTTTCGGACCCATGATATCGACAAGGGCCTCGAACGGGTGGGATGAAGCTCGGTGGTGTGTTCCCGACACAAGAGTCCTTATTTAATCCTATCTACCTTCGCCCCACCTTTTGAGACCCCCGTTATCGACACTGCCACCTCAACTCCAAAGCCTGCCGCCCTCCCTTGCAGATCTCCTGACCGGGGGTCGCTTCTGCCGCCCCCTCGGCAGCTCCAGCGTTGGAGGCTTGAGGAACCTGGCCCGCAGCTCTGACATGGGTGGTTGTCAATATTAGGGTACCTTTTTGGGTCCTTATTATAATACGGCGCCTAATATTTAGGGTACCCAAAAAGGGACCATATTTTTTGATAGCCACCCACACAAAAACGAGCACAACACTGTCACTTCTGGGAGATGCACTCCCCTAGTAAAGCTGTGAGTACTGCTCCACTTCTTGATGTGGCATGCAATCTCCGGAATTTTATGGAGTGCGCCCATCAGTGCCCTTGCAGCTAATGGCGAGTGGTAGCATCTCGATGCGAATTCACTACCCATTCAGTGAGGGGGCTGGTGTGCAGGGCCCCTTGCAGACCTGACAAGCTGACGAACATGAAGAAACCGTGCAGTCAGCCGAACTATCCTTTTCCGTATACCCAATGTGTGGAATGGCGATTCGGTACTCAATCTCACGGCTTGGGGCGCATGTGCGAACACGATGTGAGCGGATCGGGTCAAATGCGCCGGGAAGCCCACCGCAACAGATCCAGTCTGATAAAGCAAGTCGAAACAAAAGCACATTCTCAAGTCGAGTTCTGGGTTTCAAACAAAACCGAAGCTTCAGTGCCTCGCCTTTGCCCGAGCGTTGGCTGCTGCCGATTCTTCCTGCTGGTTGCCAGCCTCTTGCTTGACGTCTCGGAAAAGTCTTTGAACACAGTTGAGCTTCGTGTGCAGGGCTTTTTCAGATCTTAGAAATATTTCGGTGCGTGGGATCTTGTTTACGAAGTTACCGCACTTGGCCAACAAGAAAGCGCATTAGGCATTATTTTCTGCATACTCCGTTTATGATAACGACTTAAGCTCCGCTCCGTGACCAGAACTCCTTAAACCCGCATGAAATGCTACTTGGAGGTTCATGGGTGGTAATGTGGGTTGTCAGCATAGCTACCCTACTTAAAACCCTACTTATAACCTCCAAGTACCACCCATGAAACGTAGAAAACCCAAGGGTAGGTGTCGAAATTATGGTCCCTCTTTGGGTCCCTATTATAATACGGCACCTATTATATAGGGTACCCAAAAAGGGACCTTTAATTTTGACAACTACCCCCAAAGAGGAACCCAGTCGCAAGACAACGGCGGGCAGGGGCCTTCGGCGACTTCTCCAGCTTCGGCGTCTGCGGCTTCGGGGCTTCCTCAACCGAGTATAGGGCCCGTTGTAATCGGTTTTGGGGTCCTTAGGGTGTAGGGTTTAGGGTAAGGGAAACCGTATTTTGAGATACAGCGTATGGAAACTTTAAGGGTTTGGGGTGTAGGGATGCTAAGCTCCGGGTTTGCGCGTTAGGATTTTGAGTAATAGGAAAGGACACTGAAACTCTCTAGCATTCTCAGGGAACGGTAGTGTCTACCACTAACACTAGGACGATGTCAGAGCTGTCTATTTCGGGCCAAGAGGGCACTTTGCAGGTCTCGGTCTCTGGTTGCCTATCACGGCTTAGGTGGGAGAGCTTGGGGTTCAGGGTTTCGAGGATGTTGGGTCGGGGGTTGAAGGGTTTCGGCGCTCACAGTCGGACAAGGATGTAGGGGTTGAAAGTTTAGGAGTTGTAGGGAGCATTGGTTCCCAAACCTTTAAGGGCTCAGGATCTGGGCCCCGAAACCCTGCACGTCTTCCAAAGCTTGCCGGGAGATCGTAAGAACATGGTTGGGGGTTAGGGTTTAGGTCCCACAGAGCCCACCGACACCTTTGCAGGCAGCAAGCCCACCTCGAAGCTCCGAAACCAAGTCCGAAGGGCGACCACTCCATAATAACACTGTGTCCGAAACCGTTACACCCAAACGCATTCAAATCCTGATCTTCGAGACCCTAGAACCATTCCATAATAGAACCCATATGAGTTCCTTACAGTACTAACTCTAAACCTTAATCTAATCCCGTGCCTCCCCGGGCTCGTGGTAGGGCGGCTCCGGTTTTTGGGGCACCTCAACCGGGGACCCCCCCTCGTTGTGAACTGGAGGTTCAGGAACTTATGGTTCTTCTTGCCACCCGCCTGGGATTCTGGGCTTATATATATATATATATATATATATATATATATGTATGTATGTATGTATGTATATATATATATATATATATATATGGTACACCCCCCCTCCGGTATCTGCCTTTTCGGTGTGGTTATCAATACTATAGGCTTACACGTGCACTGGTTTCGATTGGTACCAGGGTGGGGAGGTGCCCGACAAGCCCTATCTGTACTTACAGTGCTATGAGTAATAACTTCACCGTATTAAAGTAATTAGCCTCCTGGGCCATCCGCCGTTGTGACTCGTGATGCGTGCTGCCGGGGCCGATTCAAGTTGAATCGGCCCGCTCAAAGTTGAATCGGGCCTCGGATTGAAGATTCAAGAGTTAAGATCCCTGGGAAACTTCTTCCACGGATCTTGAATCTTGAATCTTCAATCCGGGGCCCGATTCAGCTTGAATCGGGCCGACTCTGCTCCAAGTGCATTCGCCCAAAAATTCCTCCCGCAGTCTCTCTTGGATCACGCCCCCATTTAGCTTCCTGTGACACTCATGAATGAAGGAACCAGCAGCATAGAATTTTTCAGGCTTATTGAATCCCTGGCCCATGCCCCTTCTTGCCTGGCCTCTGGGAGCATGTCCCGGATCGGGCCTCACTGGTGCAGCGCATGTGAAAGGAATACGCAGCACACCGTAAGCCCCTAGCCTTAGACCTTCAACCCGAAACGCTAAAGCTCAACACCTCAAGGCCAAAATCCCCCTCAAGACATCCTGATCCTGAATTTGAGGAACCTTTTATCCCCTACCCCCTCGCCTTCATCTTCTCTGCCCTCCTTCGCAAGCTCCAGGGTCTTTTCAGCCGCCGAGGCCGCCTCACGTCGGGGAGCTCCAGAATCCCATCATCCCCTTGAACCCTCCAAAGTCTAGGGTGGGTGGAAAGCAACAGAAGTCTAGGCTTGAGGATCGATGGTCAAGATACTGCAAGCTTCAACTAGGCTGGCCCTTTAAAGCCTCTGAAAAATATTCGTCAACAGTATCCTGCTAAGCTCATAAAGGGAAAATATGAAATGTCCCAAAGGCCTACCTAGTCAACTAGAAAGACACCAGCTCTCCCTTTCAAGCGTCCTGATCGGCTGTCGTTTCCGCCGCCAGCCCCTCGACAGCTTCAGCAATGGAGGCTCGAGGAACCTGGCCGGCATCACGGCTCACGACGCAAGAGGCGACATATGTAGCAACGGCAACAAAGGCAGCAGAAACAACACTGGGTTGCTGTGCGATCGTATTTGACAAGGAAAGCTAGTGCTCTACTTTTTGGTGTCACCGCTCTGATTACCACGGCAGGTGCAAGTGACGGCAGACTTGATATGAGAACTTGATCCTTGTGCTCCCTGGTCTCGTGCCCATCGGTGATTTAGCATGCTTTTTGCCACTGACCGGGCCCTGGCAACTTCTCGCAACACACCCTGAAGCAGAAAAATATATTTCCAAAACCCCGGCCTACAAGTTCAAAGGCCCCAGCCTTTGTTGCAGAAGTCGCTGCTGCAGACGTCGCCGGCTGGTCTCCAACGTCCTGCTTGCTTAGGGGACTTTGTAGGATTTAGGGTTTAGGGGTACAGCAGGCCTTGAACTCAGGTGTTCATCACAACACCCAACCTGAACCGAAGGATTCTGCAATGCTTGTGGGTTTTTGCGGCTGCTGACCAAACATGTAAGCTGAAAGCCCAAACTCTTACAACACCCCCGTGATATACTCACACTTGCATTACCCAAACAGCAAGCCTGTAAAACCCTTATCAAACCGTATCGCACTCCCTTCAAATCTCCTGATCGGCGGAGGCTTCTGCTGTCGGCGCCTGCTGCGTAGCTTCAGCAGTGGAAGCTGGAGGAGCCTGGCTGCCGACGACGACGACGACAACGGCGACTGCAAGTTTGGAGACAGAGAACAGACAACCCGCAGACTGTCTTACAGAAGACCCCTCCCACAAAATTGCTCGGGTATGGCGACTCCTGCGACCCTTGAAAGAGACCCCTGACGAATAGACTCGCACCCTGAAGGGATCTTAATATTGAGCCCATTCAAAGAACGGGGATTATGTTGACACAACAAAAAGCCTCACAGCCTCATAGATTAAGATGTGGCTTCATCAGTCCGTCACAAGTTGCCTGCCTCGGCAACCTAAACCCTAAACCCCAAACAACCCCAATGCCGTGCCTCGCCCTCTACTGCCTCGCCGGTCGCTGACGATGTTGCCTCTTGCTCTGCGACCTCGTCATTGAGACATCCGAAAAGTTTGGGGGTCTTGCTCTGGAGGCTTTTGGATTCAGTGCAAATGTTTCGTAACAAATTCCTTGTGCAGTCCCTATGTAGTAATACTCCAAACGTTTGCGTGCTAACCTTCTGAACCTAGTTGTAGGGTTCCTCCCTGAGTGCGTACAGGGAAGTGGAAATAGTTCCTGTATAGTCACTAAGAGTCATAGCAGTCCCTAGATTCCAGCGCTCCCTCTCCCTGAAGCACCAGTAGGGGAATCCAAGGCTGTTTACGACCGCGCTCCGTGGCAGAGCTTGGCGTTGCTAATTTTGAATGTACTCGGGGGAGCTACAAGGGAATACGCCTCTGGGGTTCATGCCTATAGCTACTCGGAAAATGCGGTGGAGAGTGGGTTTAGATTTTAATCCTCGGCACTCGAGGGATAGCGACGAGGTCCCCGAGCAAAATCTCTGGAGAAACACGTTTGCGCGGGATAGCGCCGTCGTGCCCTATGCAATGAAGGGCGTCCTTGCGAAAGTGCGTGTTCATGTCCGCACTCCACCGAAGCCCACTGTCAGCTTTTCCTGTAAGCCACAGCCTGACCCATCCGGAGCCTAACATACAAAGCCAAAGCCGCATGTCGGCCTGAGCCGAAAGGATTAAGCCACACGGGCCTGGTAACGTTACAAACCGTCACCTCTTGAACCCTCAGAATCCCAATACAGCCCTTATAGAACCTCAAACTCAAAGAAACAAACTTAGAGCGACCCTCAACACGGTGTCTCTTCATAGCCAAACCTCGCCCTTCTGCGAGGTCCTAAATTTCTGCCAGAATCTGGGGCAGCCAGATTGCAGGGTCAAGCCCATCAAAAACAACATGAGCCTGAATCATCGCACAGACAAATGCCGCAAAAACGCAATGCAGTCGCAGGCCAACAAATCGTTTTTCACACATCCTACCCCAGTAAAACACCTATAGAGCCCTTGAAGATCTCTTCAGCTTTCAACCACAACACCCTTCTTCCCTGAACCCGAAACACTGATTTTTCTTTTGCCTTAAAACCTGACTTATATAAGGCCATCAAAAGAAGGAGCCCGTAAAAAGAAAGTTTCTTCAGGGTCCAGGTAAACCCTACTCACAGGCCCAAAGCCCAAGGAAATCAACGTTGAAACTTTCAGAATCGACCACTGTATAAGAGCCCCAAAAGTTGAAAAGTTGAGTTTACAGCCAATGAGGCTAAAGCCCGAAACCACCAACAAAAGCTCGCGGAGGCACCTCTGCCATGGCCGCCTCCTCAGCAGCTGCCTCGAAGTTCGCCAAGGCCTGAAGCAAATCGCTAGGGAGCGGGGTTGTGAATTTTTAGAGTATTTTAGGGCTTTAGAATTTGGGGATTTAGGGTTTGGGGGTTTTAGGGGCTTAGGATTTGGGTTTTAGGGTTTTACCGCTAGGGAGGGGGGGCGCGTTAGAGTGGCCTTAGGGCTTTAAGATCTGAGTTTAAGGTTTCGGGCTTTGGGGTTTTAAGGGCTTGGGACTTTCGGTTTTCGAGGGTTTAGATTTAGTTTGAAGATTGAAATCATGGTGAGGGTTCAGAGGTTCGGGTCGTGATAGGATCAGCTAGGGCTGCGCACTTGGAACAAGGCTGCTAGGGCTTGGATTGCTGGGCCTGGGATGTTCAGTGGAATCACAGGTAAATTCTTGTTAAGAGGCTTTTTAAGTCACAGGAATGCATGTTATCTCTTCGGTTCTTTCAAGTCTTTTGATGGACGCCAAGATCCTCAACACGATCTCAGGAGATAATGGTACGGCGCGACGACCCAGATTATCCCAGACAGCTGAAACTTTTGAGGTTCTGCGTGCTCCACGGCCATAGGCCCTAATCGTGGAAAACAAAGCCCCGAACGCCAATCCCCGAGAGAGGCAATGGCCAGAAGATTAGTGCCATTGCGTATGAATGAGGTTGCACTGTTTTTGGCAACTTCAAGCACTGTTCCTTCGTCGCTAACACAACCTTGGCATGCATGCACGACGCCCCGTTCCAAGCACTCAGGCTAGCCAACCAAGCCCCGTTTCTGAAGATCAACAGCCTAGTTCTGGCATAACCAGCCCAAGATGTCCCTGCCGGAACAAACCTTAACCCTTGATTTGGAACTTCGTGTTCAGGATGCTGCCTCGTTGACTTTGCTGATGCTCTCCTCCTTCGCAGGACTGGGTTCTTGTTTTAGAATTCAACTTATGCTGCCAGAATAAGAAATCCCTCGTATTTACTGTAGATCCCTATTATGGTATCTGAAACCTTCAACCCTAAACCCTTAAAGGAACCTTTGTAGATCCCCACTATGGTAACTTCAACTAAGGTCAGCGCGGATCTCTGGATCTTCGCCTCTATCTTTCAGCCACATTGGAGTTTCGAAAATCGGGGACCAAATATGGGACCCCAAATAGTACGATGCTTATTATAAGGACCCCAAAATACGGCTTGCCTAATTTTCGGGAACTCCCACATTACATAGCTCAAAACAGCGACGCGGCTGTAGAGCCATGCAGCGAACCGGGAGTCCTTTAAGCCCCACACCCAAAAAGCCCTAATGTAGGAACCTGCTGAAGAAACCCTGGGCCTGGGGGTTCCGGGATCCATAAGGGTACTATAAGAATGTAGGAACCTGATTAAGAAACCCTGGGCCTATAACCCCAAAATAGTAGGATTCATACAAGGAACCCGAAGAAAGGCCCCAGGTTTCAAAATCAGGTTCCTCCATTAAACCCTAGACCCTGAACCCCTCTAACCCGTCATGCAAGGGCCTTAATCACTTTGAAAGGACCCTCAGAAGTTGTATCGGTAATTATTCCGATCCCTATCGTCGAACCCCCAACCTTAAACCCTTGTAAGACGCTCTCCAGGAACACGGCTAGAGCCAATTTAAGGAAACCCCAAACCCTGAGAGAAACCCTCATAGAACCCTTTCACGAAACCCTAAGCCCTTTCTGAACCCTCAACGAACTAGTTTTGCAGGGACGACTGTTGCCAAGGACCCTATACTAAACCCCAAACCCTTGTAGTAGGCGTTATAAAGCCCTAGACCCTTTCCAAAACACCATAAGCCCGAAACACTATCATGCAGGCACTATAATGATGCCCCTATCTTGAACCCCAAAACCCCAAACTCTAATACAGGGGCCTAATAATTATCTATGCTATTGTGGGGGTTCCTTATTATAATTATAGTATAGAGGGCCCCAAAACCCAATTCTAATCATTAAGGCCCTTATATTACACATACCTGCGCAAAGCGGGCGCCTCTTCTCTCCGCGCCGCCTCCTCAGCCAGGCGCTGGCGCTCAGCCTCGGCAGCTGCCTCGCGAGCCTCCTGTGGGGGCTTTGGGTTTTTTGACACTCGCACTCGGACTAGCCTGGCAAGGTGAGGGTTTTCGGGTTTGGGTTTTTTTTCGGTTGCCATGCGCATCCAAGGGTAACGTGTCTTTTGAACAAAGCAGGCGAGCGCGTCGGCGCAGTCTCCAATTGTAGGCAATATTCGGGGTGTAACTGTAAGTACTGTTTTAGTCCAAGTAAGTCTCTTCTACTTTCTTGGGCGGTGTGGTCCAGGTGGGCTTGGAATACCGGTAGAGTCCATTCCGCAACTTGCTCTAAGCAGTATCGCTGGGGGTGTCCTCTGCGAGCAGACTTGGTAAACTTGATTCTATCCTTATATCCGGGGGAAAAAACTACGTGGTGTAGGGGGTTGTCGGGCTGTGCAGCCAGGATTTTACAGAGCTGTTGGATTTGTTGTTCGAGAAGAATTTCGGAGGGGAGCTTAGGTCGGCCTGCAAAAACCCATACTCTTCTGTTACTGACATGCGAGAAGTAGGATGCTTTAACCCCTATACAGCGGCGCAGGTATCTATGGTACCATCCGTCGATTGTTTTGAAGTGCTTCAGTTCGAGGGTGAGCGTGTCTAGACTATAGATTAGGGAGGGAACAATAGTAGAGTGGAATATTTTGACTTTGGCGCGGGTATTGAGTTTACTGCGCCATAGCTGTTGTAGTTCGGGTTTTTTAGGACTTCGGGTTCAAGGTTTTTCAGGCTTACGGGTTAAGGATACGTGTCTAACTAGTTCATGAAGTATTTCAATAATCAGTGAAAAAACTATTTCAGGGGAGTATTTGGAGCTTTTGATTCCTATTGCTATCGAGAAGGATGGTCTTAGCTTTTCTAAGTTTGCTTTTAGAAAAGGCTGCTTCGGAGGGTTATGTCCTTACGATTCTGTCTCCGATGGATACTATGCAGATAGCTACGAATATGTTTATGGATATGATTGTTCATGTTTCGACCAAGAACAAAACTTCCCGAGTAATTTTTGTTCGTTTCTACTTGTATACTACATGGATCTCAGTCTGCTCTTCAGTATGGCTCTGATCCAGAACCAGCACTACGAGATTACGAACATATTAAACCATAGTAAACACAGTGACCAAGAACAGGCTTCGTTTTGCAGGGTTCGTTTGATCCGCGGCTTTTGAGTGCTGCAGCACCGTACTTAGCTGAACGATGTGTGGACTAGGTCCGAAGTTCTTCGTTAGGCCATCCGCCGTAACTCCAAACCAGAAGCTCTGTCTGTGTGTGCATGTACACCTACCTTTCCTTTCCCTCCCTCCCTCCCTCCCTCCCTCCCTCTCTCACATACCTTGATCTTTGAGTCCATCAATCTATCCATTTATCCACATGTATACTTCCGTTTATCCATCCATTAACCATCCGTTTACCCATTGATTTTTCCATGCATTCATCGATTTATCCAATCCGTCTAATCATTTATCCGTTTTCCCATCCATCCATCTATCCTCTCATCCGGCCATCCTTACTTTCTCCCTCTGGATGAAACCCGATCACTCCTTTGGTAAGGAGCGTCGGAACAGTGTAGGGCGACTCCCGCAAAGATCACCCTCCCCTACGTGCCTCCTCTGAACGCACCTGGGCATGACAGTCTTTCCACACAAAGTTGGGAGCCAAGATGCTCAGATATGCGTGTGTCGGGCGAGGCTGTTGGTCTTGGGCTTGCCTTTAAGCATGAAGTCATTTGCCTCTACCGCACTTCAGTGGGGATACGGCTCAGTCAGTGCGTCAGCTAACCAGTTAGATGGTTTGGTTGGTTTCGGGTTGAACTAGTAAGTGAGTGACTTCGTGGGATAGTCCATGAGAGGATATGAGGGGTAGTTCGTTCGTTCGTCGCTTAGTTAGGTCAGAAACATTCTGTTGTGAACAGCTTTCGCAACGACAATATAGTGCCGCAGGGAGGCGTAAGGTCACCATCCCTGCTGCTTCTCAGACACCTCTGAACCCTAAACTTCTTACTAAACCTTAGACCCTGAGTCGTGTTAACCTTTCCGGGGCTGCGGGCTGCATCTTCCACACTTCGCGACTCGTCGTCGGCCCGCGCCATATCGGCGGCCTGCACGGGGGTTGTTATAAGTTTTAGGGTTTTGGGGTTTAGGGTTCAGGAGCCCTGCGCAGCAAACCTCTAAACCGTAGGTTCTTAGTCCCCAAACTCTTAAACCCTGAGCCTTACTTGGAGGTTCATGGGTAGTTATAAGTCGGGTTATAAGTAGGGTACTGATAACTTATAACTCATACTAGAGGACTCGTGACCCTACTCATAATTGCCCATGAACCTCCAAGTAAGCGTCAACCCACCTGATTCCCCGGAGCCAGAAATCCCAAAAGTTCGTGCTTCGGGGCTTGAGCTTCAGACGCTACGAGTCAGTAATTTGTAGGCAGGTTTCGATAAGGGGAACTTTACGGGAGTTTCCGAAAAATAGGGGGGCCCTAATATAGTACCCTAAATAGCAGGATACTTATCATCAGGACCCCCAAAATAAGGTACCCCGTAGTTTCGGAAACTCCGATACGATTGCCAAAACGGGTACTACAAGAATACTATAAGGGATGCCACATCAACTTCCTTTGAAAGGTATCTTGTACGGTTACCCAAAGGGAATGCTTAATCTGCCCAGACCCGTGTCTCAAAGTCGGCAAAACCCAGGTGCCCAACGACTGAACCGTAGACTCTGCAGTCAAAACTCCTCTCCCTTAGCTCGAAACCCAAACTTCTGAAACCCCTCGACTCCTGTCCGACTCCTGGCCCGACACCGCAATCCGCGCAAAATTCTAGAGTTTTTAAGGTGTAGGATTTCCGGGAATGGAATCTTTTGAACAAGGCCTCGCGTTGCTCCCTCGCTGCATCCGCCGCTGCGGTCTCCGCAGCAGCGGCAGCTGCTTGACGGGCCTGTTTCGGGCTATACAATACTTACTATACTATAAGACGATAATTATACCCAGGAGTACTGGTAATATGTATGTCACCATTAGTGTGAGTCTGCAGCTAGCGAGTCCAGCAGTCTGGGCGAACGTGTGTTTTACGGGCGTGTGAGCCTTAGGGTTGGGGGATTGTGACCACAGAAGTCTCAGGGCCGGCTGTCATGGAGATTTAGACATATGGGGGTTTCCGAAAATAGGGGACCCGAATATAGTATCCTAAATAGTATGATCCTTCTTAAGGACCCCAAAATAAGGTACCCCTAATTTTCGGAAACTCCCACAAACGAAGGTCAGTGACATAACAGACAGAATCGACGAGTGTTGTCTTGCCAACATCGACGCATGTATGAACACCTCAGGTGAGGATGAGGGCAGCATTGAAAGTTCACGAGCACTTGCAAGCCTGGGATGTGCACACGCCAATCGAAACCACAAGAACTGGTTGAGAAGGTTTCTGAAGCCCGGTATCGCGAAGCCGGCCCTGACAGCAAAAACTCATATGGGAGTTTCCGAACATAGGGGACCGCAGTATATTACCCTAAATGGTAGGATCCTTATTATAAGGACCCCAAAACAAGGTGCCCCTCAATTTCGGAAACTCTCATATCTTGGCTCTCGCCTCCATCCTTGCGAACTCCTCGGGGCCCATGTACATCCGGATGCAGCTGTCAATCTGCGCACAGAAACGGCGGTCTCTTAACTTTAGGGGTTTATTGAACGAATGCCACCTTTATGCGATTATAAGTTTCAAATTACCTCATTTTATTATATGCTCTTCGGGGTGTATTGTTGGAGGACTTCTGAAAGATTTTGATCTGAGGAAGGCCTTCTTAATGTTAGGCGAACCTTATTCAGGAGTCCTTCGAGTAAGGATCCGTACTTTTTGGGCCCGTGGACTGCAAGTTCCCTATACGGATTGGGGTTTAGGGGGGGATAACCTCTGCCCGGCGCCTCCTGTGCCGGCCTGCAGGAACGAAGGGATACGGTTGATGATTTGAATCCTGCATTACCCATAATAAGGAAGATAGCATAATTCCCATAGTTTAAGGGTCCTTAAGGAAGTGCAGGATTGCCTACTTTCGGGTATCATGGGGAACTAAAGGCTAACCTTTTTGGTTATCTAGGGATTATATAGGGACTATAATACCCAAAAAGGTTAAAGGTTATCTACTCCACTACTATGAACCCTTCACCCCTACAGAATATAAACCCCTCCAAAAAAACCCTAAACCCTAATAAGGAAAATATCATAATTCCCGTAGTTTAAGGGTCCTTAAGGTAGTGCAGGATTTTTATCAATCTATATCATCAACCGTAGGCTCAGGTGTTAAGGAGCCCAGAGTCGACTACGGCCTAGGTCGGTTGTTCGGGGCTTGGGCGTGTGAGAAATCAGACTGCTCGTCGAGCTTCGAATCTCCAAGAAGTGCTTTTGCGCGTAATACCAAACACAGCACCGCTCTTGACCAAGTGAGCGTGTCATTCAACCCGGAAACTCTATCCCTGAAACCTCGAAGACCCTAAAGCATTACACCCTGCCAGGAACTCTTGTAGAGCTGTCTTTGGAGGGCATGATGAGGGAGACCCCTTAAAGGGTACCCCTTCCGAACCCTACTTCTGGCTCTCTTAAAAGGGACCTTATTGAGAGGGTCTATATCACCGAGGGTCCCCCTAATCCTAATTCCCATTTTTGGAGGGCATTGCCTCTTGCTGAATCTACGTCGCGCCTCGGCCTGCATCTCATGAAGGCGCTCCAGGAGACTCCTTGGCAGAAGCGGAGCTGATCAGCTCAAGGTTTAGGGTTACCACGGCCGCGGGTTTCAGGGTTTAGTTTACATAGTGTGGAGGGTTTTAAGGGCGGGATGTCCAGGTTGAGTAGCACCCGGATTAAAAGCAAACGGCATCGAAACGACAGTGCCATGTACCTGGGCTCAAAGCAGCTGGAGAAGCATGGGAACAGCTTCTACGACCTCTTCGAAGGTCTCACTGAGCTCTGCAGCCCTGAACCTCGCAATCCTACACCCCTTAGGTCATCCAAAACCCTGTGCATTTAAATCCCAAGCCCTTAGGGCTTAGGGATTTAAACTGCGCTTGCATCCCCACCCGAATATAGGCCGCCAAAAAACCTATTCTGGTTAGGGGGTTGCGTATTATAATATACTTGTTGATAATGGGAATCTGTTCTAATTATTACGGCCCCTATATTAAACCCATCGCTCCAAATCTTTGGGCACCCGGCTGGTTTCGCCCATACTGCCGGAAGTGCCGATATGCATCGAACCTGAGTGGGTTTCTGCACTAGGTCCGTTTCGGACTTCTGATTCTCACTCAAGCCCCAAAGCACCGTGCGCTTCATGTCTCAACATTCCAAGATGTTCAGGTGCCAGGTCAAGACTCAAGTCGAAGTTTGTTGGTATCGTTGTGAAAGGCCATGTGCTACGAGCGGCCTGAACCACAGATTCGCCCGGGTTGACATTTAAGTGCTGGATACCCCTCGCAAGTTTCATTGAAGTTTCATGGGTGGTTTTACATGGGCTGCGGTTGAAGGTTCCGTAGTTGTGCGCTATGTCTGGTGTGCAAGGCAGGTCTTGCAAACAACATCTTATGGTTCAGATGAAGAGAAGCTTGGAATCCGCAGCTACCGTTTTGGAGATTTGGCTTTCCATGCCCTGTGTTCCTTTGGATCTTCGAATGACAGTTCCGTGCTTTCCAAAAGCTTACACCCCAAAGCCTGCACCTCTGCAGTCGGCAAAGGCTCCTGCCCCGGATTGGGGAAGAACTTCACGTTCACTTGAACACAGTCGCGTCCTGAGAACCAGGCATGCCGCGAGATTTAGGGCTGGGGGTTTCGGGTCTAGAGCTACTATAAAAGGAAATTACAGAATAAGTATATGATGTAGTATAATAATATAAGAGAACGTAGGGTTCAGAGCCTTCGGCCTTGGCGCTGGGTTCGGAGTTCATCCTTGGGGTTTGGGATGTGGCGGTGAGAGGGGCGGGAGTTCTGATCGATTAGCTATGCCGGCCTGCGATGTGGAGACGCCACCCTCCCGCTCGGCACGAACAGGAACACTGCCGGTACTATGTATCCTTTTTGCCACTGGACATAGTACCTAAACCCCAAACCTTCAAGACCCAGGCTTGACAAGTCTACCTTGTTCCTGACTTGGGCCTCCGACATGTCTGTATCTCCGTTACTGTTGAACAAGGTTACCCGGAACCCTAAACCCCTGCAGCCGAAAAACTCTTAAACCCGAAAGACCTTGAAAACCCTAAAGCCCCAAAGCCAAGGATTTGAGATTTGGGCTCTAAACCCCTAAGCCCTAACTCTAAGCCTCTGAAACCCCGAAGTTGAGGGTGTGAGATGTGGGCTCTCTGGGAACTCAACGCCGGGCTGAGTCCAGTGCCCATCCCGGTGTACTCGAACCATCCCTTGACGGGCCAAACCTGGGTTCAGGGGTATCTTTAGGTCTTTGGGGGTTTGGAGTCTAGGAGGTTAGGGGTTCGCTGTTTTGGGCTTTTAAAGCTTCAGGAATCCTTTTACGTTCGGATTGTCGGGAAGAACTATCTCAATAGGTCGGGGCTCGTGGCGTCAGAGTTGTTTTACTGGATGCTAGCGAGCATGAATAGGAAGCTTCGCTGCTTCCAAAACCCGAGACTTACATGTAGGCACCTGAATACTTGGAACTTACAGAGGAGCTACTTTTCCTAAACAAACATCCAGACCTCTGCGTTGTAGCCGTTTAAGCAAAGGAAATCTCGCTCCTGTCTGCTCCATTTTCCTTAGGCTTAAGCAACAAAACCTAACGTAGGGGTGCTGATAATTACCAAGACTATGTTGGGGAGTTGTTATGATAAGTAATTGTTGTATTATGTACCCCCAAAACCCTGTTCCAATTATTAAGGCCTCCAAATTATTCTTGCGGCTCTAGACTAAAGAAGTCCCAAGAAGGCCTGACAGTCCTGGGTGCACCACTGCCTCTTCGGCTAGGCGAGCAGCCTTTGCATCATTGCTTTTCTGGAGTGGCCCTTCTTGGAGGTTCGAAGTTTCATGGGGCAGCAGGACTTTTGGGATTTTGGGTATCATGGCTTAAGACTTTCGCACTTTGTGCTTTAGGGTTCCGAAGGTGGTAATTTGAGGGTCCGGGCGTTTTCAAAATAATTTGGCGAGTAGAGATGCCTGAGTATGTATTTTTGGTAGTTGTCACGCAGAGGCCCACAAACTCACAACTTTCGGCTTCCTGCGAGCCTGCAAATAGGAGCCAGCCTGATAGATATTATAGCCTTTTATGACTCATTTTCATTTATCAGGCCTCACGCCAATGACTCAGACAAGTATGTCCCCGCTTGAAAAAACCCATTTCCTGAGGATTAAAAGGCCATGTACCGCCCGGGGCTCTTGCGTGCTTTCTGGCCCAGATCCCGCGCCACCGCGCTTGAATCTTGGAAAGTCTCACGCATAAGAGCATTTAAGCCGCAGAGATACTTGAACATCTGATTTGTTCTGGGATGATGGAGGATACCTGGGCTTGCTAGCTGCTCAGTAAATGCTCTGCTTAGCTGTTTGTTCTTCTCAGGACGTAGGGAAGGCTTTCACTCCTCTTGCAGTAAACTCAGTTGGTACATCGAAACGAAAAAGGCTGTCAGGTAGCTGCCAGTCTGCGTCTTTGGATGACCATGACCACTGCCGGTGGCATCTTTTAAGTTTCTTAGGCACCCTTCGAGTATCATGAAGCTGTAAATGTGAACAGCCGGCACATGGAATTTGAAGTGAATGGTTTAGGATCTTCGGCTTCTGGGGTGCTTTAGTATTAAGGGCTCGGCACTGTAGGGACGGGATTGTTCAGCCGCTGACAGATTCTCTACTCTTTGCGAGCATGAAGCAGGGACCAGAACACAAGGCTTTGAGGGGGCTGGGCTCAAAAGCCGTGCGCAAAGCTCCGAAGAGCTTCTGGAAGCCAAGTGCCCAACAACAAACACTCCACCGTAGACTAAGGATTTGGGATCGTATGACAGGTCTAAGGATATACACCTTTTTCTCCAACCCCGTTTACAAGCCTGAAGGACTTGAGGATTTACGATTTCGTTCGTAGATCCGGCAATCCCCGCCTTCAGTAGTCCCACAGACAGTGCCAGAACTGTACGGAGTCCCTACCCGTCTAGACGCAGCTGTTTAGCGCCCACGAACAACTTATCCGGGATATTCCCGCATTCCGGAGCAGGGCTAGACATACTTTGTACGAGTCCCGCATTGCCATCCCATACTGACATGTGGTCGCAATCATGCTAGTGATGTTTTCTCACCCCAGACTGCCCTACCGCGTGGCTGGTTCAACTGATCAAACTGCCTAATCACCATGCACTGAGACTCGAAAGGGGCACCACCATAATCCCTTTGGAGCTGCACCCCCACCACCACCCCAAGCAAAAACACAACCTCAATACCAGCCTAAAACCCTTATACAACCCTACAAGAGACCTAAGACACACAATTAATGCACCAAGGCGCCTAAACCCTACATGGGAGTTTCCGAAAATAGGGGACCCTAATATAGCACCCTGAATAGTAGGATCCTGATTACAGGGACCCCAAATAAGGTACCCTTGATTTTCCGAAACTCCACACCCTTCTAGAGGCCTTTGAAGGAACCCTTGTAGTAACCCTTTATAGTAGCCCTTTAAAGGAACCCTTATAATACCCTCATAGTAACCCTTTAAAGGAACCCTTCTAGTAGCCTTACAGTAACCCATTAAAGGAACCCTTGTAGTACCCATATGATACCCCTTTAAAGGAACCCTTCTAGTACCCTTATAGTGACCCTTTAAAGGAGGCCTAAATCGCAGAATTGACAAAAAACCGTGGCCTTACTGAGTCCCCGGCCTTGGCAGCCGCTGTGTGAGTGGAGCCTGCTGCTCCGAAAAGGTGTCAAGGTTATCTACTCTACTGCTAACTTGTAACTTGCCCCACAGCCTCCTACATCAATCCGTGTCAAGTTCCAAATCGTAACCACACAAACCCCCGCATACCCCCAAAACTCAGCTGAGACCAGGGCAATCCCGGATGAAGCGCTGAAGCCATTTGGTCTCGGTGAACTTTTTGGCGCACCGCTGGACAGCAAGGATCCTGGTCAGGGCATAAACGTGTTAAGCCCGGACGCTTTTGGGATCTGCTTGGAGGTGCATTGTAGTAGTAAGAAGGGTTAGAAGTAGGGTAACTATACCCTACGCCCTAAACTCTAAACCTTATAGAGCCCCTCTAAAGGAACCCTAAACCCCTACTGTAATGACCCCACTTATAACTAGTCATGAGCGGCCGTGTTGCAGCAGGACCCTCCTGTCCAGATATCTGCTACACTCGAGCCTACGTCACAAGTCCCCCCTAAAGTTGACCAGGTTGGGTCGTTTCAACCATCTGAACGATTCTAGAATCTTTGATTGAAAATATTGGATCCTTTTAAAGCCCAACCGGGGAACGTCCGAAACATCCCAACCGTCAAATTTAGGGAATCGAATACACAGAATAGGGCTTTTCGGTGTTTTCGTATAGCAGTATATGGACTCCAAGCGACCAAGCATTCCTAAACACCACATAACCGTAAGACCCTTATTATCTGACATCACACCATAAGGCCCTTGTGCGTGGCATGCCAATACAGAGGCTATTGCTACCATGCGTCAATATCACTAAACTCACAAATGGGATAAGACAGCTTCGTGGATTCAGGATTGGGGGCACTAGAAGGGTTGCAACATGGGTTCCTATGCACTGCTTTTTGTCTTGCGGATTCAAGCGTGCTCGTAGCTGAAGCTACTCCTCGTTGGTATGGTTTCGCGCTTCCAGTGATCTGTCTATCTTCGTGGTACGAGGATTCAAGGACGAAGGAAGCTCCAATTGAGGCACAGGCGGAGCGATCTTCGCGCTGAAATGAAGCTCCCATCGCTTTTGCAGGACATTGTTCTTCCTCGGTGTCAAAGCTAGATTTAGGGCTTGCGGTGCCTACGGCAGCCTGCAACCCCGTCGAAGCATCCACACAGACGGGTGGTGTCCGCATGTCATCGAAGAGCATCAAGGAGTCCATGATAGACCAGATAAGGGAGGATATGGATATGGGAAGCCGCTGTTCGTAAGCAAGCTGTGAAATACTCCAACGACTGCGACAGATCTTCGCTGCTACAAGCGAACTAATATAAGTTATGAAGCAACAGCCTTCCTCGCCAACACGCCACCAGCCGTCAACACACGCAAGCCCAAAACCCTGGCAGCTCTACACTGATCTACATATAGACTTTGTATGTATGAGATGCGCTGTGCAGAACAACTCAGGCTCCAGCCGTACGCTAAAGCCTCGGAAGACCTTTTGGATCTTGGGCGCCTGAAGTTTGCAGCTTTGCGGTTGCGGCTCTTTGGGTTGTGGCCCTGGCTCTGGATTTCACGGTTTTCTGCTCCTACATAGAGGTTCATGGGTTAGCTATAAGAAGGGTTATAAGTAGGATAACTATACTCTTAACCGGTCTTAACCCATATTAGGTGACTTATTACCCTACTTATCACTACCCATGAACCTCCAAGTAAGCATTGGTGGAAGCCAGATCAGCATGGGATCACTTTTCAGGGGCAGCTCTGGTTTCAGGGCTCCTTGAAGGGATAAATTAAGGGATCTATAAGGGTTCCTGACTATAAGGGTACTATAGGGTTTCAGGGTTTTGGTTTTCAGGCTCTGGGGCTCACGGCTTTAAAGCTGAAGGTTTCCGGATCAGAAAGCACCTGGATTGCATCTATGCCCGAAGACCGTCGGCGGAGCGCTGTGACCCCGAACCCCAAGCCAGAAACCTCGAACGCCAAAGTCAAGCAGATGCCTTCACTGAAGGTCATGAACCCGAAACGAGTTAAGATCAGCAAATCAGGCGCCATGTCGTCTTGACTACTGAGTGAACGCTTGGGGGGTTCGTGTTGTGGAGAAGCTGTCTCCCAGCAACAACCACTCTCCCGAATTCCCCTTGAGAAAAACCTGCACCCCGGAACTCTACTCAAGTAATCACGACCACACACGAGTTCCTAAGTCAGATGGGTAAAAAGAGCGCAGCTCAGAACCGCTTGAAACAACGATCCGGGTTTGGGACATGTTTGTTGCAGTAATTATGAAACACATGAATACCAAGCGAATAATGTCCGCCAAGCCCTGAAAGCCCCTGCCAAAGGGTCTGTCTTGCGGGGTGTTGCCCAGATTGCAAAGGTTTTATGTCGCTTTGAGGCTGTCGAATCCCAAAATTTAGGACACGAACGAACACCACCCTGATCTGATCTAGAGAATGCTGGAAACCCATAAGGATTATCGTCCGTCAACCAGAGGAGACCCTAAACCTTAAACCGTATAAAACCTTTGAAGGAACCCGAAACCCCTTGTAACCCTACTTAGAGCCTCCAAGTAACTCCCCAAATCGCCACCCTAAGCCCTAACCCCTGAACCCCTAAAACCCCTAAACCCTAACCCCCGAAGCCCAAAGCAGCTTAGCAGAAGGCTGCGGCGCTCCGGAGGGCTACGGACTCGGCGGCCTTGGCGATCTTCTTACCATGTGGGGGGTGCCTGTGGACTAGAGTAAGATAGGGTTCCTTTAAAGGGTTCTTTATAAGGATTACTATAAGGGTTTAATTTAGGGGCCTTCATGACTAGAATAGGGTTTCGGGGCCCGTTAAACTGTAGTTCTAACCAAAATAGTATAGGTAACTATTCAAGCCTCTATATTAGATCTCTTAACAGGCTATATACACATGAGAAACGCAAATACCAAACTTTAAACGACAATACAATGATGATAGCAATAGTACTAAATCTGTTGATAGTATTGATCAAAGGGTTCCTTCAAAAAGGTTCTGTAAGAAGCCTCTGTACGACTGGGGCGCTCTTGAAAACAGACTAGGATTCCTTCCAAAGGATGCTCTTAAGGGGTTATTATAAGGTTTGCCGGAAAGGGGGGACTTCATGAGTGGAACAGGGTTCCTGTGAACATTTAGAGCCGTTAGAGAACTCTTGAGTCCCAACGTCTTAGCTGGATGCTTCACCGACACGAAATTCTGATCAAGCCGTCGATGTTGTGGAATCGCCCGAGTAAGGAAGAGAACAGGCTCCAAGGGTACATCAAAATATATGGGTGGTTGTCAAAATTATGGTCCCTTGTTGGGAACCCGAAAATATTAGGTGCCGTACTATAATAGGTACCCAAAAAGGGACCATGATTCTGACAACCACCCATATACAGATTGTAGCATAAGTGTATCGGGACGAGAGGGGAACTACCGTATTCGCTACGTTTCTGGGGCAGAGGTACTCCTATCTACTGCAGCATGGAGCTTGGTTGAGGGACTGCTGGTTCTACCACTACTACTACTACTACTGCTGCTGCTGCTACTACTACTACGACGACGACGACGACTACTACTACTAGTACTGCTAGTGCTACTACTACTACTACTGCTACTACTACTACTACTTCTACTACTACTACTACTACTACTACTACTACTACTACTACTACTACTACTACTACTACTACTACTACTACTACTACTACTACTACTACTACTACTACGGTTCCTGATCTGGGTCCTACGTTTCTTTCGGTGTTTGTTTTGACCAGGGGTTCCCGAATCAGGTTACATTGTCCTACATCTCATAATCTACATGGGTGGTTGTCAATATTAGGGTACCTTTTTAGGTCCCTATTATAATGTGCCACTTAGTATTTAGGGTACTCAAAACGGGACCATGATTTTGACACGCTTTTTTCGGTGCAGGGACTGCACGGACGCGACAGTCGCCGGGAGCTCTTGTTAAGGTCTACGAAGAAGTGGCAACCTTGCAGTTTGCTACAGACGTAGTTCCTTGACAAGAACCCGGTATCTTGCCGCTGACCTCAAAGGCCAAATCGGTCCCATACCGTGAAGGATACATGCACGGATGGTCCAGTACGGTTTGGCCTTCCTGGCTGCGGGTGTCGAGCCTCTAGGCTTCGGGGTCTTTTGGAGTCTTGGAACCCTTTGGGACTTTCCGAAAATAGGGACCCTAATATGTTACCCTAAATAGTAGGATCCTTCTTATAAGGACCCCAAAATAAGGTACCCCCATTTTGGAAAACCCCTATATTGAGTCATCCTGGCAAAGCTTGTGATGTGCCAACGCCAGCTGCTAAAGGGCCGTAATGTAGCGGTAGCGGCAGCGGCAGCTGTAGATGCGTAGCATTGTAGTGGCAGAACTTGCGGCATTACCATTCGTCGAGTGGAAATAGTAGCGGTGTTGGTGGCGGTGTTTTTGGTGGCAGTTGTGATGGCAGTGGTGGTCGTCGGCATCATCGCAAGAAGGAGTAGCAGCATCAGAACCTTCTTGGGATTGACACTGGACCAAGGCAGCACACACTACCTCGAATCGAAACCTGCCGACATGGAAACTACAAATCCTAAGAATCCAGGCTCGGCCTCCGCGATTTGAAAACGGCTTCATGAAACATGCAGCATTGGCATGCCGGGCATGGGAGCTGTTGTGCCACTGGGGTGCCGGCACTTAGTATTAGGAGGATTAATAGACAAATCAGGCTTGTTGATGATTAGATGCAACCTTATGCGAGCTTTCACATTGTCACGGCTCTATTCACGGAGTGCCTTCCCCAAAGGGGGCATTCATGCAGTGATTGGCATGGCTATTCACATCTGGGTGACAGTGGAGATGTCATTTGGTGATGTAGGAAACTGATTAAGGCACCCTGGGCCTATAACCCCAAAATAGTAAGATCCATACAAGGAGCCCTAATAAAGTCCCGAGGTTTCTTAATCAGGTGCCTGCATTAGCGGCTGTCTTTCACGCATCAGAACTGGATCGGAAGGCCTCCCCGAACCCAGAGACTCCAATAGCCCTTAATAAAAGGAACATACCTTAAAAAATAGAAGGATCCCATAAGATGCTTTAAGGAATATTCCTTAACTAAGGGCTGTTGGAGTCGCTGGGAAATTGAAAGGATGCCCACCAATGCTTGAGTGTGATTGTTTTCATGCACTAGAGCTGACGCTTCAATGTTTGGTCTGTCACGGGCCCAAGATTCTAAGGGTTTAGGGTTTAGGGGTTTAGGGTTTAGGGGTTTAGGGTATAGGGGTTTAGGGTTTAGGGTGCATGTTCCGATGTAGGTGTGGGACGTTATAGACATCACATAGCATCCCGATCAATGTACCCGGCATGCGCTTGTTGGGCCGATTTGAAGGCTCCCAGAGAGCCCAATACCCCTCAATCAAGGAACATACCTTGAATTGAATTATAAGGAGCTTCAAAAGCTGATTGAAGGTATGCTCCTTAAGTGAACTAGGTATTTTAATTGCCTTAAATTGAATAATAAAGGGCTTCTCAAATGCTGATTCAAGGTATATTCCTTACTTAAGTGAACTAAGTGGGTATCGGGCTCTCTGGCTTGGCCCAGACGGAGGGATGACCGGGCTGAAACAAACACCCCTCGAACTGAGAATTCTACATATCCCGTGCTTCGGCAGCCTTCAGACCTGATGATATCCACTGGCAAACCCGCCGTTGCCCACAGAGAAAACAAACATGCTCGGAACGCAAACACACTCTTGAGAAATTGGGGGGGGGGGCCTGCATGAATTGAATCGGGCGGTGGGGAGGACACTTGAGTTTAAGTGTATAGGGCCCTAAGGGTACCGGTCATAAGCTGGCTATTTATGCAACCGAGGCTGATTCGCCGAACTTGTCCCGACAAATCCACTTCAGCTTTCGACCTGCATACACAGAGCCAAACTCGAAACCGCAATATAGAGGGCATGCCAATTACGAACCATGTCCTCTTTAGTTGTAGTCCCGACATGTAACTGTAGCAGTACCCCGAAGGTATCACAAGCACATCCCTACCCTCTCCTTGAAGCGTCTTTAGTTTGAGCTTCTTCAATGGTCATGTACAGTGGTCTTCTGATTGCCTGAGTGGTAACCCACAGGGGCCTTTACACTCAAGTGTGGGACTGACTACTACTTAGAGGATCGTGGGACTTAGTAACTAGGGTTATAATTAAGGTAACTATACTTATAATACTTATAACCCCAATTAAGGTACTTATAACCATACTTACTAAGTCCCATGATCCTCCAAGTACTATGATCGCTTTTCCAGGTACGCCCTTGCTAAAGGCCGTTTCGGCCTCCTGTGAATTCCGTTTGGCAAGAATAAGCAGAAACTCTAACACTCCAGAATCCGCCACACCTTAAAGCCCTAAACCCTACAACCCTAAAGTTTTCAATCGGATAGCCTTCCAGGTTGTAAGTAGCAAAACCATTCCTTATTCTTCCTTACAACTATGCAACAGCAACCCTAATCTACCACATTATTCCGCAGACCTCTTTATTATAACTGTATAAGTGTTCGAGGGATGTGAGAGAGCCCAATCCCTCTCACACTAGTCGTGGCTCAGTTTAGCCTGGCTGCACAGTGGGAGGAAGAGCGGTTTCACAATGTAGACAGTTCTTATAGGATTTTGGGCTTTGTAGTACAAGAGCTACGGCTTCCGAAGAGTAATATGGTTGTATTAAAAGGACTTGATGGGACTGTTATGTATTGTAGGCGCCTAATAGGCTCGCATTCGGTTCCTTAACCTAAGATAGGGTGATGCTAATGTGCTGTCTGCACTTATTAGGTGCGCGGCGGTGTGGTGAATGCTTTTGGAGAAGGCATTCCCAGTTGGTGGTTCGAATTCAAGGTTTTTTGCCAGGAATCAGTGGAAAGGTTCGAGTTGGACTCGCCCTACTTCCCACTACCCCTGAACTTCCAAGCTCCAAACCTCTCCAACCTGTACCTCCATACTATCCCTTTGACCAAACCACGCAACAACCAGCCGCACCCGATGCACTCTTGTGACATGGAAAGTCAGAACTTCAGCGGGAGTCCGAACGCCTGCTATGTTGCTATATGGCCCTTAATATTCAGAATAGGGCTCCCTTCGAAGCGGTTCCATTAAGGCCAGTATACGGGCTACGATATAGGGGGCCTTGATAATTCGACTACGGGTTTGCGGGTATATGTGGGAACATTGTAGTATACATATAGCAAAGAGCCCTAAACAATCACACTGGTAATTGTTGCAACCTCTATACTTGTCGCTGAACCTGAAGCTACAGACCTTCAAATTCAAAACCCACTACACGTAAATGGAATAAGCAGAATAGGGGTTCTGCAGGTTTTTTTTTTTGGGGGGGGGTTCTCGAAGGGAACAATTATGGAGGGTCGCTCTCTTTGAACCCACAAGCCCCAACACAAATCCACAACCCTGATATAGTACCCTCATTTGTGGGATCCTTGTCATAAGGACCCCGAAAGAAGGTACCCCTCATTTCCCATTTGTCAAGATGATCCGTGGCACTGATAGCTGGGTGTGGACTTGGAGATCACCTGCTCTTCCTGACAACTGAGGGCTTCAGGCATGAAGGTTCAGCAGTTCCAGGATTTTATCATGGTCTGAGGGTTGAACGATTTTAAGTTTCAGGGCTTCGGGTCCAGAGGTTCACTTAC